TTTTAAAATGTGATTTTCAGACTTCCTGCATGATTATGTTGAGAATCTGAATTATTTTATCAAAGTTTGAAGAGAACCAATTAGAAAATATTATGTATGTTTCATTTGTAATGAAAAGTAGCTCTTCTTGATGTTCATACGTTTTGATAAAATTTTGTGATATAAAATTTCTGAATAGCCAGAGAACTTTTTAAGATCCATACCTACCTTTAGATATGCTGTTGTAAAGTTGAAAGAATTTGATTATGAATGGATAATACGAAATCTTCATAAAGTGATTTGAAATAAAAAAGTTTTATTCACAAAAGGTTTGATTGAAATTCTCAGACGACTCATTAAATTTGAAAGTGATTTTTTAAATAAATAAATACAGATGGCAGAGGCTGCTAGATAACAACTGATAAACTTTAATATCCAATACACCTTGTACTTACCGAAATTCACAGTTTTCTACAACTTCGATCAAATTCTAAAGATACCATTTTAAAGAAAAAGAGTAATGATTATTTGTTATGATATTTTTAATATCATAACAGTTTTATGTTCAAAACAAGTCCCCAGCCCTAAAAAAGAAAAGAAAAATTAAGCAAAGACAATCTATCTTGTCACTTATTTTTATATTACTACAAATATTACTGCAAATCAAAAGGCATCAACAAAGGCGTGGGACGAAAGGTTTTTATAATGTTATTATTTGTTATATCTGTTTTAAAATAAAAAAAAAACGATACTGCACAAAGAGTGGATGCTGTCATTTTGTTTTTTAAAAAAAAGGTCATCATTTAAATGCAGTTCGTCAACCCCCTCTCCCTACCGAAATCTTGAATTAAAAACGCAACAAAGCATGCAAGAAAAAGGTGAAACCCTTCATGATTGAGAATATAAATAGATACTTGATAACGGTACCAAATGAAGAAAAAAGTGCTAATTGTGATAAATTGCAGATTTTATATGAATATTTGTAGGCAAAGGGGATGAAAAAAGTTTGATAAATCATGATATATATTATTCAACCTTACAACTGACACAGATATTGATCAAATAAAATTTAGACAGTAATGGGATAATGAAAACCTCCTACGTTACAGAATGGGGCGATGGCTGGTCCGTGATTCATGCTATACAAACTGGCCTGAATGATTTAAAATTTATACTTAAGTTGATCGATTGTTAACTTGCAATTTATGCAGAGTTGATGCCTCTATACGAATTCCTGCTTTATTTATCTACCGTGTCTATTTTGTTATAAATGCATGCCCAATTATTTTCCTACTGCTGGTTTTAATTTTGTAAAATTATTATTTTACTTTACTTACTCACGAAAAATCATACGCAATAACATTAAAAATAAGCGACATTTTATCCGTTTAAATCATTAAAAAATAGACAAATAAAGTTAAATAGGTATTACATGTATATGTTACATGTACTATTAGTAATTTTGTAAACTGATGTGCTGTATTGCCCAAAGTTATATTCTAAATAAACTATTTAATTATTCTGAATTGTTCATATTTCACTTATTATAATTTCATATACAGTTCCTAAGAAATGCAATACTGACTTACTTTCTCAGACTTAAACTCTCTGTTTGGATGTTTCAGGTAAAAGGTGGTCGAGCATCCTCGTGTGTAGATCGTGTATAGATCATAACTCATCATTTAGATCTAGGCGACACATAATCGATGAAATGACATTCTGCCTCAAAAATAGATCCATAAATATTTTTAATTCTGGAACATCGGCAAAGGTAAGATAAACATTCTTCCTCGGTATTCAAATAGTTGAAGATCGACATTTTCGGATTTTCTGGGGCCTATTGATGCTGTTATTATATCCAATTTTTATTATCCGTAAGATTTTGAACATAAACAACGAAGAAATAAACGAATGCAAATTTATATTCTCCATGCTCTTAAACAGATCCTCCATCTGCAACATAATAATTTGTTTCAGAAAATCCATAGTAAATGGGGGTATGAGGCTCAATAGATATATTGCTTATCATTAACTTTTAACGCTAATTACCACAATAATCATCATTTATCATTTCTCTGACAAAAACTCCTTTTAAATAAGTTCCAATGTCTGTATTTAAATCCCAATTTAAATAAATCATGCCCAGCTGCACATTACATTCAATTATTATGCAGACATGTGCAAACCTTTAGAAGACCTAAACAGTTTCTCAGGTGTATTGCATTCCCTTCCTCATTTACAGCCACATTTAAGAAACAATGACATGTACTGAATATGCTGTTAACGAAGTAAGGAAGCAAGAATAATACCAATGAAACAAATGGAGATAACGAGCACTTTTTAAGAACAAAAGTCCATAAAAGAATACAAAAAGGAGCAGAGCAAACTCGGACATCCAAAACATCAGAAGTTGGATCAGCTGGAGGAGTAAGCATCCCATGCCGATCGGTCACACCCGCCGTGTGCTCCTTGTTATGATCAGGAAATAACGGAAAAATCCGTCGTCATTTCAGTGTATAAATAATGGACTAACATTAAGTGTGAAAAAATTCAATCAGCATTTGACTTAAACGCTCATATTCTTGTTTCATCAACTTGTTTGTCAATAATTTACCTCGTTTTAGAAATTGTTCATAAATAAGAATAATACCTAATTCTTGTCATAAGCAATGACTGAACTAAAGATAGGACACTGCTCATATTTATTGTAGAATGGTACAGAAAGAGAGTTTTACATTTACTTGTAAAACATAATGAGCGGTAAATTGTTAATTGTGTTATACTTGTTCACCAACACTGTTAATGCCTTTTATATCATTTTGCAACAAATTGTGATTTATAGGGATGATATCTAACACCCCAATATATTTCTTTATTCACCTGAATTTGAGTTACCTTATCTTTTCCTAATTCCAAAATTGCATAAAAATCCTTTCAAAGGTACACTTCAGGGTGTAATGAATATTCTCCATAAGGTCCTTTATTTCACTCCGCATAGAAAATATCAACTGTTGAAAAGGAGAACATTTGATGTACTAGTTCTAGTATTCTGTTATAGGCATTTTTCAGGAAAAAAAACATTTGAATAAAAGTCGTATTTTGTAAGACTTTAAACAGCTTTCAGAAAATATGGTATCATTTTTATCTAAAATGATTTACATTACAATGCATGACTTTACAACACTTTATGCAACCACTCCTCACGATGCTAAGTAAATTAAAAATCACAAGGCTTTTGACATCACTGACAGCTGCTTCCTAATTCAATTTAAAATAAAACAGGGAATAATGATTGGTCTTATATATTAACTCCGTTAGAAATGAATCTGACTCAACATACAAATACTCTGAAGTTTAATAGTATTTAAAAATTGCTACAGTTCCTCAATTACTATATCAGTGTTTCTTGGACTCCCAATTAAGACTAATTACAACCGTTTAATATTCTCAAGAATCAGACTCTTTTTGAGAAAAAACTTGAAATCGACATTAATTTATGATATATCGACTTCGTATTATCAATTCGACTCGAATATATCCGAATGAACTCAAAATGAAAGACGGCACAGAGTCAGTTTTTTGTTTTCCTTCCATACTCATATTTTAGTTTTCAATTACTTTCATTAAACAATCAATTAATGCTTAAATCATTTAAATCAAGCAATTTTTTTTATATAAATAGAACTCTTAAATTTACAAATTAATTTTGTCATTGAGCATCTGGAAAGTAATTTTAAAAACATTCTGTTTGTAAGCACCAAATACTCCAAAGTCGATATCAAAATTATGTTGAAGGGTCTGATTCACAATATCTTCTAGTATGTACTTTTTGTACATCAAGTCTTCCAACAATTTGTTGGAATTGTCATCGGTACTCAAGGTACCTCCTTATTAGCAGACCTATTTTTGTATAAATATGAAGCAATGTTTTTTTTCAAACAAACTTGCCATTATTTTAGGACTGGCTCGTTTTTCTGTTTTTATCATGACAAAGTGCTTACAGCAGGTATGCCCGGTCTCCAGAAAATGCTTACTCCTTCATGAAACCTGTTCCCGATTCTGATGTTTTAAGATTCCGTGTTCCAGTTTGTTTTGTTCCAATGGACAATCGATCTCCATAGTTCATTTTCAAAAATCAATTTCAAATGAATATTTATTTTATGGATGACCAATTTTTTGCCTCCTTTCTGATCCTTGTATCTGATGTTTTAGGAGCCTCTGTTTTTGCCACGTCCAGATTTTGTCTAGTTTTAAGGATGTTTGAAACTAATCATAGCTTATTAATTTTACCTTTTATCTTTTTCTTAGATTAAACAAACCATAAATGATGTTATTACCAAACATAGAACCTTACATAAAATGTATGAAAGAAAAGAAATGACAAATTTCTGGGTATAAACAACTGGATACACATAAAACCAGAGGACATCACGCAAATAAATTTATCAAGCCTGCACATGAATCAAAATATATTACTACATTAGACAATCATGATCAAAACATATTAAAAAGTAACGAATTTTTAATGTATGCACAGATGGAACAAATTTCCTGGACCAAACAAATAACCACTGTGTTTACTATTTTATCATCTTCGTAATACAGGGCGCAGTCTTGTGGCGTGGTTGTTTCGGTTTTAGAAAAAGGAAAAATAATATTTCTCTGATGACAACACATTGTTCGTTACGTTTTGGATTACATTCATAATGTCAGGTAAGTGATACGTCTTCAAATTAATATTCAAACGGGGCAATTAAAGGGGGAATAATAGAAACTAAACATTAAATGACAGCATATTTATTTATAATAACTAAATTTTTAAGTTTTCAATATTATCTTAAATGTAAATTATCGTTGAAAGGATAACCTTTATAAATAAGAATGTCAAACCTATCGGAATAGACTTGTGCTAAATTTCAAAATCCTTCAAATAAGAAGGAACCTCCATCTATGGTTGCATCTGAATTTTAATAGGTATGAAGATCCTAGAGAAAGTATGTGTGTCATTCATAAGTTCTCACAAGTACTGGAACGGCTGTGAAAATTCTGAGTGACGCGCAATTGATCATGCGTGCGCTCATTTGAATTTCAAAAAAATTAAGAATTTTTTGTGGACAATTCATCACTGCGGGGCGAGTATGTGGACAAGTCTTTTATAAAGATTAGGACTGCGAACATTCATTTAGAAATTAACACAAGCGTGTCATAGCAACATTAACTGAGCTTCAACCTTTAGGACTTAACATAACAGTAAGTGATTATCTTTGTCCAGTTATATATTCGAATTGAATATTTTCCTACAATAATGAGTATGTCATACTCTTTAGCCAATTTTAATTTTCGTATCTACTCACACACATCCATTTCTTCATTACATTTTTATTTTATTTAAAAAAAAAAGGTTATATCCTTGTCAATTCAAGGAAACAACCAGTATTTAATGCCAGAATTTGAAAAAATACCTTTATGCTTACACTTATCCACAAATGACAATACTAGAGCTGCTCTCAATATATCAGTAAATCTTTCCTTGAAATCTTATCATTTTACTGTGTGTACATCAAATTATCAAATTGTCTAAATGAAAGAGCTTCCTCGGGAAAATTTACAATTTAAAGTGTTCTTTCATTTTTTTTTTGTACTTTCTTACTGCAAATATTTCTTTCATTTTATTCAGTATTCTCTCACTGCAGATATACTTAAAATATGAAATAAAGAAATAATCCAGAAATATGTAAATAATAGTAGTTTTTAATGTGATTCGGTTTCTATCCAAAGAAAAATGGGAAGTGGGAGTTCATTTTAGAAAAGTGAAAGTGATAGCATGAAAGTTAGAAGTATTCAGTTAGTCTTCTTTGCTTTTAATATTTACCGTTATTTATTTCCAAATATCACTGAATTTTTTTTGTCTACCATCCAAAAAAGCTCTAGTTTTATTTTACATTAATAACGTCTAATTCAAACAGCAGGTAACTAGAACAATTATATTTGACAATGTCATTCATTTTAAAATTATGCATAAATGTGGGAGTGCTGACACTTGACAATTTTGTTACACCTAGTCTTATAAAGACAAGGGCGGGGTCTTCATTAACCTTATTGGTCTTTGGTCATAGCATCATCATTATAAATAATCAAGCAAAAACAAAAATTTGACATCTATTGATTCCAAATAAAAAAAAACTGGCTCAACTTTGAGGGGGGAAAACATTAAAAGGTAAAGTTATAAATTATTATCAATTTATCTAAATATACACTGAAATAATTTACAGATACGTTTATGGACAAAAATTGTAACCATTTTAGTTAGTTCTATCATTACTATAAAGGAAAGAAAATTTGCGCATTTTTGTTAACTTTCAGTAAATGATGTATCATGCACAAATTGCATTTTTTACGTTTTGACATTTATGCATGTTAATTTGATATTCAAGAAATTTTATCACTTTATCCTATGTATATGTTATCAGATGTGAATGATATTGTTAAATACGATAAATGGATTATTGAATATGAAAAGATAACACTTTTGGTTTTCAGAATCACCAGTGATTTGTATGTTTAAGTTTTACAACAAAACCACAGTATGTAAATTTTATGGAAGGAACTTTGCACTCTGTACTTTTAGGGATTTTGTTTCGTATAGTAGACTAATGACAAAGATAATGTGTGCAAAGAAATGGCATTAAGGAAGCATTACAAGGCAATGAAAAATGCTGGAACACCTACAAGAGGAATGCCAATATTAATTAATTTTAAACTAATTATTTTCTAACTTTTAAAAGTTACGTAAAGGTTACACAACGTATGAATAACTGAATATAAAACTAAATGTGCATGTTTTTTAACAGGTAGAGGTAACTGATACAACGCAAAACAAAGCTCTTGGGAAAATTCGCAGATTTTTATTTCTATTTGTTCTCTTTCTAGGAAAACACAATGAGGCTTAAAGAAATTCTTTTCGTTGGAATCATCCTTTTAGTAAACAATGGTGAGTGTCATAGTGATAAAACTTTCTAACTTGCCTTTAGTGATCAACAAACCTACAACTGAGTTTGGAAGATCCACCAGAATCCATTTGTTCACAATGGCAGTCGAATGACATCGTTGACTGTAGCAACCCTCTCCTTCCATCATACAGTTTCAGAAATAAGAATTCATTTTAAGTTGAAGATATCTGAACTTGAAGAATTACAAAGAACCACATTAGCTTTCAATTTCTCTCATGAAATATTTATGCAGATAACGAAAAGTATTCAAGCTCAAAAGTCCATTAAACAAAACAAATCAGGAGCAAAGCAAACACAGAGCTCTAAAACATCAGAGGGGGGATCAGGTGCCTTGGAGAAGTGAGCATCTCTTCACCTGCCGACCATTCATACCCGCCGTGTGCTCCTTGTCATGATCGAAAAATGGCGGGAAAAATTGTCGACAATTCGGTGTGTAAATAATGGTCTAAATATTGGTTTGAAAATCGTCAGTCAACAAAATTTTAATATTTTGTATTTGCAGACAAGGTCATAGTATCGACCATAGAACTTACGAAATGATGACATTAAACGAGACTGATGATATTCTTGCTTCGTCAACTTCTTTATCAATAACTTACCTTGATTTATGAATTGTCCATACGTAGAGCATGCTCTTGCGTACCGAATCAATCGAGAGATATATACCCCATATACGCAGGTGATAAAGATATATGCTGCATAAGTAAGAGAAGTTGACGATTGAAAGGTTAGTCATCACGTTTTTCATAAAGCGTTGTTGTAAGATTACCTACAATTATCGTCTTTTTTTTCTAGTAAAATATCCAAATATGAGACGGATGTGTCAAACACGGTAGTATCTCTTATTTCAAGCTCACCGATCGAAATAAGAATGGAAATAAATAATCTTTCTTTTTCTAACAAAATAATCTGAAATTCCTTTAAGAGTGTTTTACAAAACAGTTTTGAAGTGATCAAACAAATGAAAAAATCCTGATCGAGTCTTATGACAGTTATTTTCCTAATAACAGTTAAATAAGTAATTGAAATAATAAATCATCTTGTATCGGGTACCAGTTTGAGAAAAGAAAAGCTACAATTATCATCCATTGCTTTCTTTTGTCAGTATTCGCAAAGTGGCATTGTCGAAACAGACTAACGGGGGGATGCTTAAACGGGGGCACGTGTAATAGTGACACTGGAGTCTGCGCCTGTCCAGAGGGATTCGAGGGGTATAACTGTGGGCTTGAGACCGGTAAGTAACAAATAAGTAAATGAAGAACCGATTTAAACATTCACAACAAAAATAAAACTAAATGTACTGTTATAAAATGCGCAAGACAATGGAACTAAAAATGTGTACTGATTTGAGGAATATTTAGATAAAATACAACTAACTGTACTTTGTAGCCCTTATCTGTCCTGCTGACAATGACGCTAACTGCAGGAATGGGGGTACCTGTTATAATACTGACCAGTGCTTCTGTACCGAGGATTATATTGGGGCCCAGTGTGAAACGCCTATCTGTAAGTCTTCTCAAAGACAGTAAGGCCTTCAATCATGCATTTTTTGAGCAGTTACATTTACAATTTTAAAAAATCTAGAAAAGATATAACATTTATTGAGACGTGCTCTTTTCTGCAGCTTCCATGGAGTGTCGGGGTGAGGGAACTGATATCACAGTGATGGTACCGGACGGCTTTAGGGGGGAGATCTACTCTCAGAGGGACGGGTCCGACGATGACATGGTCCCAGAGGAGTGTAAATTTACTCCGGAAGCAGCCAGACCCGACAACTACATACCGTATACCTTCACCATTCCATTTGACAGAACCAGTCCATGTATAAACGCAGCACTGAATGAAACCATAAATGAGGTGAATTTGCCTTTAATGAATTGTACGGAAACGTTACCAAACAGTATAAACAATTTATCTGTGAAAATATATTTTGAAAGATGAAGAATAAAACTAGAACCTATATTTTTCCTACCTTTCAGAATGGAGACTCTGTATTTTCGTCTGTTATTGTGAAGACCTACAGTACAATGTTTATAACAGACTATGACGAACAGTTGACATTCGTCTGTATCCATTCTACCAATAATTATACTCTAGGTACCCGACTAGACCAGGTCGATCTCGATAAATCGTAAGTAAAAAAGCAACTTATAAATCTTCGTGATAAACCATCATGCTAGTTACTGCATATTTAAAACTACGTTCTTAAAATGGCAAAAGAAAATAGATCTGCACAGCTGTCTGTTTATTAAAGAGGCCTCGGCAAACTAGTTTTTGCGCGGAACAATTTGTTTAGAGACTTACCTTCGATCTATTTTAATATTGACTTTCTATTGTTGCTTTTAAAGGAGAAACCTGCAGACTGATAAGAAGGATGGCGACTATTCCCCTGTCAGAATGAATGTTCTTAATGAAGATGACACCAATCTTACAGGACAAGTCAATGTTGGTGACGTCATCAAACTTAGATTCTATCTGGATGACGAAACAGGTTAGACACACATATAACCTTGATTTTTGCATGCTCTGTATGTACACGCTTAGTGACACCGACGGCAGAATCCCTCACTGAAATAAACTAGCAAAGAAAAAAATATTTCTCCGACTCTTTTACTTATTGATATTTTCAAATTTGAAAATGTCACTGGGGTATTGTTGAACACAAGTGTTGACTGAAATCATAGTTACTGCGTTCATTGGTTCCTTTTAAATAAAAGATTAAATTTGCACTGGGTCTGGGAATGCACAATGGCAAAATTCCTTCAAAAAACAAACACCAATGTATGTTTTACTCAACTATAGGCAAGTACGCAGGATCTCAATATCCTTACATCCAAAGCATCAGTTTAAAGCATACCATGTTTATTTCCTACGTTGGTACGTACATTTAATGCAAGTATATAAGCTAAAAATAAATCAATAACAAAAATATTTGATCGATTTGTAAATCAAAAATAATTATTCACACCAAAAAAGAAATTTTTAATAATGAAAAAAAAATATTTTATTGGCTACTAAATAAAAGTGTTTTTTAAAGAATTAAAAAGGAATAATGCAGCAGTGTTGCATATCCTGAAGTAGGTGTATGCTTTCTGATGTGTATTTAATTTAAGGGTAGGGTTTCTATTATGTTCGATTTTTTGCCCATATGCATCCTCTGTTAGAAATCTATTCATAAAACAAACAAACATATTATTTAAACTTTAGAATTTGACGATATATTTGAAAATATAAATGTTATGTAAATGCAAGAATATATCATCTAAAATTTATTAACCTTTAAGATATAGTCTAACATCTCTCTCTCTTTTTTTTCATATTGCAGTGTATAAAAATTTGAGAATGGAGGACTGTACTGCAAATGATACCAGATTAGAGAACGGAAATAGCTTTCAATTCTTGGAAAAGGGGTATGTATTCAGAGTTCATATCGAGAAAATAAAAGAATTACATCTATGCCAGATTTGAAAGAGTTCCATCGTAAATCCCAGAAAGCTACAAATAAAGGTTATCTTCTTTTAACAGGTGTCCTACAGAAGCCGGGGCCGCTATCATGGTAGAAACTAATGGACAAACTCTGACTAGAATTACCCACCCCACCAGAGGAGGAGAAGTCGCTGCTGCAGTCCTGCCAATCTACGCTTTCAAATTCAAAAGCACAGGAAACGTAGCCTTTAACTGTCAACTGAAAATCTGTCGAGAGGGCGAGGATTGTAATCCAGTGAGTGGTCACTTGTCTGTCTATTGTCCTTATTCAGGGTTATATATTCCTGATATTATACATACCTGAATACTTTTAAACAATGCTCATTTTTCAAATACATATATTTGTAGCCAAGAGTGTTACCTTTTATCCTTCATCACTTCTAAGTATATTTTTTCTACAGCGATGTGGGGCACCTGCTACTGACGACTCTGCTGCTCCTCGAGCAACAGATGCTGCGCCAGTGGCACCAACAGATGCTCCAGCTGATGTAGTTCCAACTGGTGTTCCTACTGACGCTCCAACTGGTGTTCCTACTGACGCTCCTCCAGTCGATGGTGGCGCCCCCGATGCTGGACCAGTGGTTACAGACACTCCAGTCGATGTGGCTACTAATGAACCCGCTATTGCTAAAAGAAGACGAAGGCGAGCAGCTTCAGGAGAGGAAAGGGAAACATTCTCTGCTATTGTTTCTGTTGTTGATCCTTTTGAAACTCAGTGGCGCGCCAATCAAGTAACCAGTACATCTGCACCTACAACAGGTACACTGCATTACATTTTTTATATGCAATTTTTTATAATAACTTTCAACACTGCTTATTTGTCATGATTCAATTATTTATGAAATTTATGGACTTGGGAAACGCCCAGTAAGTCAATTGACACTTTATTGGAGGATAGATACTAGTATTTTTACACTTATTTCTAATCACAGGAATATACTTATTATAAGGGGTTTCTATATGGCAATAAGGAGTCAATTAGAGTGAGAGTTTATAGTAAACTTGCAATATTTAGTGGATAATAAACATCCATATATTTTCTATTTCAGAATCACCAGAAGAAGAAAAGACGTGCTTCCGTTCTCAGGAGATCCTGATTGTCATCATAGTCATGTCTGCGTTTGTCTTTGTTTTACTAGTAGCTTGCCTTGTAATGTCTTGTACCATTCTAAAATTAAGACATAAGTTCAATTGCCGTGAAAATGAAAGTGAGTCACATATGCCTAGATTTTTTCTTCCTCATGCTAAACTACAAGCTTGATAACCATACAAGTTTAACTGATCATTAGTTACAATAGGTTTTTTCAAATTCAGTTAATGATGATCATTCAATTTTTAAACCCTGTACTGGTTTAATCATTGAAGCCATCTTGTACTTTTTGCATCATTTAAAGTGCAGCTAACTCTCTTATTATATCCATCTATGCAAAAGTTAGCTACATCTTAAAGACAGCAGAAGAAATCCTTTATGACAGTTGATAATATTAATTTTAATTCGGCTTATTTTAATGAATAATCAATAGGTCTATGGAATGGCCACAATTTTTACTTACTTAAAAATACTTATGACAATTAAGGAAATTTTCATTCACGAAAATAAAAAAAGTTATTTAATTTTTTCCTCCTTTCTTTTCATCAATTGGAATTTAATCATTTCGTAATTTTTCATCTTCGCAGAGATGGTAAATTTTAAGTGCATGTTTATTGTTGTTGCTGATTTGAATATTAATTGAATATTTTAAATGTCGTTTCAATGCATTGCAATTATAAAGATTGTATGTTTTAACCGATTTTGAATTGCATGAAATATGTGAATTTTAAAGGTGTTTAGTGTGAAAACAGCTATTCTTGTAAGACGGGTTGTATGAAAGTACGCATGGAAGGAAGTGTTATAATTTGTTATTGTTATTGGTGTTATAGATATCATATTATGCATTAGGGACTTACAACTTACAATTTGTACATAGCATTTTCTATTTAAGAACAATAAATTTTAAAAACGAATTTGTGTGTCTGTGACTATTATAAGTTTGACATGGAGTATAAATCTTAAGGTTGTCGTTTGTTTGTTCGTGTATAAAATTTGTTTGAATATTTATAATCATTCCAATAGAAATCTAAGTGTTAGTGAAATACACAATTTCACCATACCTTGTTCTGCGAAATTTACCTTTTCACTTGATAATTTTATAAGGAATAATACCCCTGGTAGTCCCAGTAAAAGTTGTCCCTCGTATAAGAGGAACGATGAACCTTAACCCAATCAAGGCCGCCTTTCTGGACTCTTTTTTCGAATAAAAATCTGCCTCAACCCGTAATCTTAGCTAAAATTCAAATTATAAAACCAATCATTCACATATGAAATTTTCGAATCTAACCCCGTGTAAGTCTAAATTCTACTTTTAAAAACAGAAACATAAGTCGATTCAGTTACACAGATATCAAAAATCTACTTATAAAAGGAACAAAGAACACAGCCTTTGCCCCCTTAAAAACGCCCTAGATACTCTTAGGTATTATAAGTATTCCTCAGATCAATATAATATTATATTGATTCTAGAATTGAAATTGGAAGAGGAAGCTCACTTCTCCAATTTGAAAGCACTTAGTCTTTGATCTTGATTTGTATAGTTAACATGGACTTTTGAGCTTCAATACTGTTCGATATCTCCAATAATTTTATCACTTTGAATTTCTTGCCTTTCGTATGTAGAGCATGCTCTTCATGTATCGAATCAACAAAGAGACATAAATTATGTGTAAGTGATAAGGATATATTGCTACATACATGTTAATAAGGGAAGTTGACGATTGAAAAGTTGAAGTCATACGTTTAAAGCTCTGTTGTTAAGTTACCGGTTTTTTTTCAGTGAAATATTCAAATATGAAACAAATTTTACAGTATCAGAGACAATGATAATTTTCATTTCAAGTTTACTGGGATATCATATCTATTCGACACATGAATGGAAGTATATGTAGTTATATGTGTATTGTTTATTGTCGAGATGAAGATCGTGGCAAGTGTTTTCTCCTTATCTTTAATAAGATTTTGAATAGATTCTACTTCATATGAATGAATACAAAAATAGGTCTTCTTATTACATACTATCAATTAACAAAAGTTGCTTCCATTCATATGTTTACTTGATATAGGCCACTGAACTTGAAATAAAAGACACCACTGTGGCAACGCACTTTGAAAAAATTACGCACTTTGAAAAAAATTTTCAAAGTGCGTTAAATTTTGGGACCAGGTTAACGCACTTTGAAAAAATAATTTTTTTTTCAAAGTGCGTTAATATCGACCATATTAACGCACTTTGAAAAAAAAAGTCTGCATGGCTTAGTCAATATTCCTACAAATTATCATTTGAACCTGATTTGATACTTTTTGTCACCCGCTTGAAAAGTGGGAGATATTAATTTGGGTCTATCTGTCAGTCCGTCCGTCTAGCTGTCCGTCCATCCGTCTTTCTGTAACGCTTTCGTTTCCACACGATTTCTCGCCAACCCTTTGAACATTTGCAATGAAATTTAACATAACAGAATCCCTGTGGCCTTAGGAAGACCCCTTTTGAATTTGGGGTCAAAAGGTCAATATTCAATGTCGTAAAGAACTACGAACGATAGTATTGTTCTTCCGCCTATCTCTTAGTCAAATCTCAAAAGTTAACGTATTGGAATGATTCTAAAAAAAATTATAGATATTTATATGAATTTTCATAAAACCTTACTTATTTGGGATACCAAAGAGAAATAACTCTATAATTTTGGCAAAACTTGTGTTTTTAAATACCTGGAGTTTAACAGAGAGATTATCAGATATGGTATCAAATTAACATCGAAAAGCAGACAGGTACTGTAGATTCCTTAATATAAGCGAGGAATTAATTTCTGCGTAATTTCGCGGGAAGTATCACTCGCGAAAAAAATATTACTTGCTTTTATTTTTCTGATGCTTAAATCTATGTAAAATCTGTTCATTAACCGTTTATTCGCGAATTATAATTCTAGCGATTTGACGTTTGAGAGCCAGTTCGCGATAAAAAAACACTCGGGAAAAATAAGGAATTTACAGCTAGTAATTAATATTCTGATTTTCCTGAAAAATGAACATAAATAGACTTTGAGATTTAAAAGAACAAAATTTCGATTTACTACAGACTTCCTTGTACAGTGCTTATACTGTATTTAGAATGCACTTTTTTAAAAATATCATTGACACTTCAGGTAAAGAGTTATAGAAATAGATATATCTGGGTGGGAATGATAAAGAGTTGAGCTGATAGACCTTAATTCAGCCAGTCTTTTCTTCGTTTTCCGTTTCTTGGTTTTCTTCAATCCATCAGTTTTTAGAAAGAAACACATCAAAGTAAGAGCATTCCTTCCCAAAAAAGCATTTTCAGTAAAATCATTTGACATCGATCCCGATACAAATTACGTCAATTCCACACAGAAAAAACTAACATACACATAAAGTTATAACACACATAATCGCATCATTATATCCCATCATACGTTGCGAGGGGATAATACTATTGTCTATTTCTAAAATATAAGTCTAATTCCTTTTGTTTCATGAAAATTTTTTCAAAGTGCGTTAAATGTTGACATGGTGTAAAATTATGATGTACAGTTTTAACGCACTTTGAAAAAATTTTTCAAAGTGCGTTGATTTGGTCCCAAATTCAACGCACTTTGAAAAAATTTTTCAAAGTGCGTTAACCTGGTCCCAAAACTTTACGCACTTTGAAAATTTTTTTCAAAGTGCGTAATTTTTCAAAGTGCGTTGTAACACACCACAGAGTGTTGCACATCTATTTCATATATGGATATTTTACTCGAAAAGACGTACATGGTAACCAAACAACAAAACTTTATTCTAAAAGAGATTGCTTCACATTTTCTATTGTCGACTTCCCTTATACTTAGTTTTGTCCGTAAATTCTACAACAATTAAGATAAGATTTTGCTATGCAACAATTCACTTGTTTTTAAAATTTTTTTGTCGATATAATTGAAATAAATGACAGGACAAATAGTTTTTATTTAATAAAGAAAGAGACAGATCGAGAAAATGCATGTTGCCGGTTTGTATGAAATTTTTGAAATGACTAATGAATTTTACTACTCTCAAGTGCCGTTTTGCATATTTCCAAAGTGCCGTTTTCACCAGGTGCCATTTTAACCAGGTACCTGAATTTAAGATTACCCAGAAGAGAGAAAAGATTATACAACTGCAACGCTGCTTAATATGTGGTGCAGTTTTTTTTCTTTCTTTTAATTTAAATTTGAGGGGCGATTTGAAAACCATCTATCATTCTGTCTTCAATAACCCAGAAGTGAAAAAAGAATTACATTACAAGATCAGTGCGTACTGGGTCCGCCGTTATAAAACATACTTAAGTCTGGGAATGCTCTCAAGTCTGAGAACTTTCTTAAATCCAAAATTCTCAGACTCAGAGTCCGTCATAAAAAAGTTGAGAAAAATAAAAATTCTTTAAATTCTGTTCTATTCTTAAATTCTCAGCTGAGTAATTCTCAAGACTTGAGTTGAGAATTTTTTTGAGAATTCTCAAAGTTTTATGACGGTGGACCCTGGTCCCTGCTGACAAAACAGGTAACATCTTACATTGTCTTCGTTTGTAAGGCTCGTTATATAAATTGTATTTTAGATTAAGAACTTGGATTTAATTCTACAAGTGGTGATCCAACGTATACTCATAGTTCCCTTTCTAAGAAAGAAATTCTTCAAAATCATATGTCAGTTTTGAATATTTTTAATATCCCAAACAACACAAATGGATTTAATTACCATATCTGTATTGGATTCCGAAATTTTATAAAATTTTCTTACAAACAAAAATACATAACGGGTTCCAGTAAATGTACAACCAAGCCTCTTTCTTTACTCCTCACTAAGATATTAACAGTAGTGAAGGAAAAACTTCAAGAGTACTATGCAACAATACATTCGAGAAGTGATGTAAATCAGATGTGGAAACTTACCCCCAAAGAACTTTTGAAAAATTGGAGATTTTACCAAAATCAACAACTTTAACACTTCTAGCTTTTCAGCGTTATACAATCATTTCCCACGATAAATTAAAGTCCAGGCTTTTTTATATCATTGACTGCTACTTTTTTAACAAAATAATTTTGCAATGGCCAATTACAAAGTTGTTTTATGGACTTTTGTTCTTGAATACTGTTCGTTATCTCGTAAATATACTTACTTTGTAATGGCCATTGCAAAATTATTTTGTTAAAAACATTCTGATTGTATACACAGTACTCTGACTTAAGGTAGGATTCTCCTCATATTTCTAATATCTAAAAATTAATGAAATTTTCACAGAATCAAGAAGACAATATCAGTAACAATCTCCCATGCAGAGTTGTCGTTCGTTCCTCTATCAGACACCTCTGCAATGGGCTCACGTCAAGATTTTTGACATACTTAGTAACGTATAAAACGAGATATATGCAGGGTTGTTTCAAATTAAATTAATAGTTCTGGATTGATTTAGTAAATATCTACCTCAAAACTCAAACATAAGCATAGAAATTGAATTATAATGAATTAAAATAAACGCACTATTTCTCGTGTTTATCACTGTGATATACGCGAGCCAATGACAGAGGTGAATGTATGAGCCAATGGTAGAGAGTGTATCAGTAAGTGATAGATTAAATTTGACCGTTTAATATAAGAGGCAAGGTCAGTTCAAGGTCATTATCTTTTTCCTTGACATTAAGAATAAAAAAAATACTGTTGCCAATCATGTGATACCTACTTCTATTTCAAAAGTTTAAAGATTCTTCTTTTTGCATAAAAATATATTACTATATCGGGTCTATAGCATGATATTACCAAATTTACATAAATAATTTAACTAAACTGGATATTGGCTAATCCGAATTTTCTCTGTTTTTCTTAATTTTTTAGGATATACATGTATTAGTTAGTTTCATATGCTTCCTATATTTAACTTTTTCTTATTTTCACATATAGTAAAGTTGTCACATAAAGGTACAAAATGATACAAAAACTAAAAGTTTTGATCGTTTACTAAGAGAGAAAAAATACTTTTTATGGATTTTTGGCTCAAATCTGCACTTTGATTGGAAGCGTTTAAAGGCTAACAAAGTTCTAGTTTGTTTGAAAATTGTATTTATTTGATATATTTTGAAAGTTTAGTCCCTCATTATTAATTTAACTTACATTTGAAAATTCTCCAAGTCTTTTTTGTAAAAATTATAACTAAATTCATTGTTCTATTATAATTTTGAGAGGCAGAAAAGAAGATATTTTCATACGCCACCATTCCGCCAAAAATATAGTCCCTGCTAGTTTTCAAACGCAGTTTACCATTTCTATTTAAAGTTGTGCAATTGTGATGAGGAAAGAAAAATATGATCTTTTAAATCCCCTACACTTCAATATATAAGACATATAAGCAAAAATACTTTGAATGTTTCATCTAGTTAGAAATCAGAAAAGAATCCTACCTTAACATCAAAAAAATACTTAAGTTTCTGATTGACAATATATATGTGGTTTTTGGAGACCATGTCTTCCAACAATCTACTGGAATTTCCATGGGTAACAATAATATTGCCCCCGTTATTGGCAGACCTATTTTAAAAGTATTTTTGTATCCATACGAAGCAGAATTTGTGTCAAATCTTATATGGGAAAAGAAGAAAACACTTGCTATGGCCTTAAACTCGACATTTAGATATATCGACGCGTATTGTCAATTAATAATGGTTATTTCCATTCTTATGTCGTTACGATATATATACCAGTGAGCTTGATATAAAAGATGCCAAGGAGTCTGACACATCTGTTTCATATTTGGATATTTTAAGAGATAATGACGTTAATGGTAATCTAACAATCATGCTCTATGATAAACGTGATGACATTACTTTTCAATCGTCAACTTCCTAAAGTTACTTATGCAGCAATATACATGTACCTTCATCAACTGGATAGGGAGTTTACCGGTATATCTCTCAGTTGATTCGATACGCAAGAGCATGCTCTACGTTTGTACAATTTCTAAAACGAGGTAAATTATTGATAAATAAGTTGATGGAACAAGAATATTAGCAATCTCGTTTAAAGTCATCATTTCGTAAGTTCTATGTCGATGCAATGACCTGTCAGTAAATACAATTTATCATTAAATCAAATGTTGACTGTCATTTTCATAAGTTAATTGTTGGGCCATTATTTACAAACTGTATTGTCGGTGGATTTCTCCGTCACGTTATTTCTCGATCATAACAAGGAACTCAGGCGGGTGTGACCGGTTGGCTGATGTGCCCACTCCTCCATGGCACCTGATCCCACCTCTGATGTTTCTAGAAGCCCTTGTTTACTCTGCTTCTAACTCTGTATATTGTTTAATGAATATTTGAGCTTGAATACTGTTCTACTTCGTTATCTCCATATATTTCATTCAATAATGCCAATAAAATAGTATCCATCAGTTATGTTTATGGCAACGGTAAAAATATTTCATCTTTTAGATGGAAAGTTATAAGTATACACACGTTCTTTACTAGTCCGAAAAATCTTACGTTTTCCTGGCTTTTTTTACGATTTTGATATTTTACATGCCAGGAAAACGTCAGAACCGGCGCCATTAGGAAAACTTGAAATTTCACTGTCTTCAACTGGAGTTGATTTTCGGTACTTATGAACCGACCTAAATACCGAAATCAGAATTTATCAAAAGCACAATGCCTCTAGCACTCACCAATATCGATGGAAGGAAAATATCACTCCACATTTCGTAACAGGACATTCAAGATTTTAAAATGCACGAAATGAAGACAAATCTCGACAGAGTGATAAAACCTTTTTCAATGGATTATTTATTTCATAAATGAACCATAAAAACTATATTGGTAAGTTCTTTAAGCATTTAAGCTTTTGACTTTGAAATTTAATTCAGTTCGCAAGTATCTAAAATCAACTCGAGAATGCCGCCTCTGGTTGGAGGCGGCGATTTCCCAGTTTACGTAATGACGCCGGTTCTGACGTTTTCCTGGCATGTAAAATATCAAAATTGTTAAGGTAGGATTCTTCTCTGATTTCTAATTAGATGGAATATTCAAAGTACATTTGTTGATATGTCTTATATATTAAGATGTAAGAGATTTAAAAGACCATATTTTTCTTTCCTCATCACAATTATACAACTTTAAATAGAAATGGTAAAGTGCGTTTGAAAACAAGCAGGGACTATATTTTTGGCGGAATTTTGGCGTATGAAAATATCTTCTTTTCTGCCTCTCAAAATTATTATATAACATTGAATTTAGTTATAATTTTTACGCAATCAAAGACTAGACGAAATTTTTAAATGTAAGTTAAATTAATAATAAGGGACTAAAGTTTCAAAATATATCAAATAAATAAGATTTTTCACACATACTAGAACTATGTTGGCTTTTAAATGCTTCAAATCTAAGTACAGATTTGAGCCAAAAATCCGTAAAAAATGTTATTTCTCTCTTAGTAAACGATCAAAACTTTTAGTTTTAGTATCATTTTGTACCTTTATTTAACAACTTTACTATATATGAAAATTGGAGAAAGTTAAATATAGGAAGCATCTAAAAATAACTAATAAATCCTAAAAGATTATGAAAAAGTAGAGGAAATTCGGATTAGCAAATAATCATTTTATTTAAATTATCCATGTCAATTTGGTAATATATCATCTTAATTATAGGCCCTATATGGTAGTATCTTTTTATGCAAAAAGAAAAAACATTCAGTCTTTTGAAATACAAGTAGGGATCGCATGATTGGAAACAGTAATTTTTTTATTCTTAATGTCCAGTTTGAAATTTAATAAGTTAAGTTTGACCTTGACAAAACTTATTTTTGAAAAGGACCTTGCCTCTAATATTGAACAAACACCATTATTTTTAATCTCACTGATACCATCACTTAGTGATATTGTCCTCTTGATTCTGTGAAAATTTCATTAATTTTTAATACAGAACAGAACAGAACATTTTATTACTAATTTAGAGCCCATAACAGACAAGTATGAGATTGTTATAATAATAAGGAAAAAGATGGAAAACCAATGAATAGTAAATACAATTAGTAACAATTGACATACAAAATCATTTTAACAATAATCCTTAATGTCTAAAAGGAATACATCAAATATGCATTAATATTAAAAGATTTTTAATGCTACTGATAACATGTTATCATGTGAAAATTTAAATTTTAAATACAAGAAATGTGAGAAGAATCCTACCTTAAAAAGCCAGGAAAACGTCAGATTTTTCGGACTAGTTGTTTACTTGAAATCTATCCCAAATTATTTTTTTTAAAAAAAGGGGGGTACTTAAAAATCTAAATTCATGTGCATATAATGTTTAAAATGGAAAAATTATACAAGAATTCTCAATTATAAATGTTAACACATTACGTGGAGCGAAATATTTTAGCGCCTTGTGCGTGCGAAATGGTGATGGAGCGAAACCCGCTGTTACCCTGTAAAGGGACGCAACTGCGTATTATGGCTGCTTGAGGATATGGAAACATTGATGTGGCGACTTGGCAAACATTCAGATTATGCATCATGGATTGATTCTTTTGAGACAAATATTTAGTTTTAAATTTCCTTGTGTATTTAACTGTCGACAGATGTGGTGGAAAGTTCAAGCACAAAGCTTGTTTACGAGGCTGAATTCCTTAAACAGGTGAAGTAATCTGTATGTAATCCGAATTTACTCTAATTTTTTCATTCTCATCTACATCTACATAATACAGCGTTCCATCGAACTTGACGATTATACGCTGGCCCTGTGCAAATGGACCTCTAAATTTTAAACTAAAAAAGTATATAAAAAAAGAAAGAAAAAGCTAAGTGCCATGGAAAGTATACCATAAATAAACTAAGTGCTATGGAAAACAATTTACATTGTGCATAAAAAGGTGTATATCTATATATATTTACATTATGCTCTTATTAGCTCTATTAATATAAGAGTTATGGAAAATAACTTGGGACCAGAGTTCTGAACTGGTCCAGAGAGGCCGCTGCCACCACTGAGTGTGGGAGAGAATTCCACAAAGTCACTTATATATGGGGAAAGAAACTAACATTCTGCACCTTGTAACGCAGGTCTAAAAAGAATACTCTTATTTAAAATTCATTGCTCTAGATTTTTTCTGTAATTTGCTTAACTGTATAAAAACTGTGGCATACTCGTAACTGACAAGCTGCAATTATATTTATACCTTCTGTCAAGATATTCTTTATTGAAATATGTAATCGGTGTTTACAGAATATGATGAATTTTTCAGATATTTAATGCAATTGTTCTTTATTATAGGTCCAGGAAAGTTATCCTAGTATTACTTGTTTTATGTGTTTTTCTATACTACATTTTGAGCTCATGGTTTACCACAGAGAAGCCGACAATTGTACCAGGTAGGTAATCCTGCCTCAGGTTGCTAAAGGTTTATAGAGATGTAATTAAGACTTAGAGATGCATCACCTCTAACATTCAAATTTTAAAAAAAAATGGCTATTAAAAATCCAAAAATAAAATTAAAATGATTGATAAAAAATGGGCTTTGACATTTTCCAGTGACACACAACAATAATCTTTGCATCATATCTTCTTTATGTATTTGAATCTCAGCTGGTATTTTGTATTCTTAACCCCATAGACTTTGGGATAACTGGGTTAGACTAATCATGTAACATACTGCTGTTGGCTTTTTTTGCAGATAATCTTGAATTTTGTCTACAAGAAAAAGTAGAAAGGTTTTCAGACTCCATCAACAGATATGATGTGTTTTTAAATCAGGAAAACCAAGAAAAAACATTTCCCCCATATGTTGGTAAGGTACCGATTTATGTATCAGTTTAATGTAAAATTTAAAAAAAATGATTACTCTACCTATAGATGCTATTTGAATATTAAGTTCAGGAAATTTATGTCATGTGTTTTGCAGGAAATGGAAAATTGGCAGCTTCAATAGACAGTGACTATGGGCTGTTTATCAGACTCAATCGAGCACTCTCCTTATCTGTAAAATACTACCCAGTGGTGTCCACAAAAATCATCAACAGCAAAGCAAGAGGTATGGTCAATATTTCTACTTCTAAATTAATTATATTGTCTCAATTAATTTTATCACAAGTTGGATAAATCACACATGTACACTGCATATATATATTTACATGTACCGGTAAATGTGATGTCACAACTTCACAAATATAAAGACTTTAAATGAACACCCAATTACAACTAAGTCTTCGAGCAATAAGAAATTAATAATTTACTGATTAGATGATTAAAATTAATTTTGAAAAAAAAAATGAAGCAGCTTGCCCCCCTTTCCAATGTATCCCTTAAACTTGCTTTTTTGACGATTGTTTTTGTGTCCAATATTTTTCAGAGGCTACATTATTGAACATTAGAGATGGAATTGCTTACAGGCTCCAGACAGTTCAAACAGTAAGTTTATGAAACAAATATAAATATTCTTAAAGTTAAAAAAAAAATTATAAAAAGTTCAAATTTAAATTAGCCTGAAAATGAATGTTTTTATAGTGCTTAGTGACAAATCATCAAAAACTGGTCAAAATGTTCTGATACCTATGAAATTTTCTTCAGAAATATTTTATTGCTTTGAATTTAACAAATCTGCTTATTATTTTAATGCAGGGAGGTTGGAGGAGCAAGTGTAACTATGTGGAGAGTCGGTTATATGCCCACAGAGCCCGGCCCTCCGTGTTAGTCCAGGATATTCGCATTTCCAACCCTAGTGTAGGTCTATGAAAATATTAAACATTCAGAATTTAAAATGTTAAGATAAGTCTCAGTGTATGCATTAGAGTCAAGGAAAGTGATTAGTTTTAAATTATATTAAAATTTAGTTAGCTTAATAGAGTACATAATATTATCGTATGTGCATATATATGTACATGTATATACAAGCTAAAGAATTATGAATTTTGTTTTAAATTACTTAATTGCACTCTAAGACAGTAGTATATTTATGTCATGAATTTTGTTGAATTACAATGCACACTGCAAAATATTTTTCATGGCTTTTTCATCTTCAGAAAAGACCATTGTTCCTTGAATTTGAACCAGCTGGCCAATTCAATTGGAAAAACTCCAAAACTTCTCCTAAGACGTATGTTTTTATCGTTTCTTTTACTGGCTAATAGGAACAACTACTATAATATAGTTTGCTAAAAACATCTTAGTGTTTCTAATGTTGTTTTAATGATATCACAAAGATAAAAATATTTTGATATTAAAATATATTTTGATTCTATGTTAAAAAAAAACCAAACAACCAAATTAAATATTTTTATTTGAAAAAGTACATGAAAAACTTTAAAGAGTACATGTATTTTATTTTGTGTGTGCTTTAGAGAAACAGTGGGAGGTAAATCTATCAGCTATGAGGTGACGGAGGGGGAGGTAGATCTACCAGACAACAAATACCACGTCTACGCTGTTGTCGCATCCATCAGACTGCCCAAAAATACATTCTCCCTCAAGGCTGGAGAGTAAGTCCAGTGTATAAACCCCCAGGTTTCCTTCACCTATAACATCAACCCCACCTCTAGCTAATGTTTCCATAAAATCTGTAAATTATAATACAGTAGTGGGACTGTTATCACCATGTACATGTATAGCACATTTATAAAACAAATACCTCCTATTTTGAAAATGACATTTAAGCCATTTCTACTAGACTGTGAATTTTTAATTAGGGCCCCGCAAGCAAATAACATTTAATCAATTCCGTCCGTCTGTCTATCTGTCTGTCTGTCCGTCTGTCACTCTTCCGTCCACAGATTTTCTGTTTTTTTCTAATAACTTTTTTTAAGGTTGCCCAATCAGGTTCAAATTTGGTATGGTAGTTCAGTAGGCAGAAACATATTTTGATGCTAAGTTTGGTTCTCTATGTCTTCTGGTTTTGAGCTGGGGTGGTGGGGTAGATTCCTTACTATGCATAAGAATGAACGGGCAAAGAGAGATAACTGCTGAGAATGTTACCATTGTAAACTGGGAAGGCTGTGCAATTTGTCCTTTGGGATTAATTAACCTTCCTTATGAAGAAAATCCTAAGCATTATCTTTATCTGTCGAATTGAGATTAATTACTCTACCAGCCTCTGTCTGCAATGAACTTTGTTTTGAAGTAAAGGTCAATTTTGAATGATGTGTACATTCTGTGAAATACGGATTTAAAATAATGTTCATACTTTATATTGGTTAAAATACTGTACACATATTTAACATAATTTTATTGAATCCTAAAATCAAGATATATATTAAGATATCCTTTTTTATTATTACTGTTTTATTTTTTAATTATTTATTTAATTTAATTTGTTTTGCTGCCTTTATGCTGTTAATTTTAACAGGTAATCAGATAATAACCCCATTCTGTCAGTGCTGAAAAAAGTTCTTATTGTAAATTTATATAGAAGAAAAGGATGGGAGAGCAATACAATTAATCCCCTGGGATTAATTCCCCTGGGATTAATTATCTTTCTTGCTGCAGAAAATTTAGAGGCTTATCTGTATCTGTCACATGAAGATTAATGAACACCTTTGTCTGCAACTGATGTTTGTTTTGAAGTTGAGGTCAACCCTGGGTGATATTCGCATTCACTGAAGGCTTGCATTTTATAAAACACCTGCTTAAATCTTTTTTAAATACACATTTAATTTAGTTTTTTTTTAATAAGACATGAGGTTTTCCCTATTTTCTGTTAATACAAGGTTACTATTTACAGGTTTTTGGACATTCAGGAATTATCTTGAAATTTTAAAAATGCAGTTGTTACTTATAATCTTCATATATTAAAAAAAATGTAATCAAGTAAAACTCTCATTCAATGAGGTGCACCCTTATATTTCTACCCCTCAGCGGGGCCCTTGCTGACTGGTCAGTTTTCTAGTTAGATTTCTTTGTTTGTCGTTAGGACCAAACAGTATCAAGTGTTGACTGTTGTTAACTACACAAAACCATATGAGAAAAAACCAGAAAAATTGACGTCAGTGATGTCATCCGGGGTAGAGAAGGTAAGGTCTTCCTAACATAGAATGAAATTATATATACATGTTGATTTTGATTGATAGATTATGTTTCTGATATACAGTGAAAACTGTCTAATCTGGCACCTGAATAATCTGACACACTGTGAATTCTGACGTTAAATATGACACCCATTTTACTGTTTTCCTTGTTCTTAACACTGTGCAATCCGACACCCTGTCTATTCCGACATAAAGTTTGTCTCCCAATGCATGTCGGATTAGACAGGTTTCACTGTATATGTTTAGGCTAAAAAATTAGCAAGTAACAAAATATTTATCAATTTAATATTTTAAATAGGAAAACATAAACTAAAATCTATGCATAGATATTTTTTTCTATCAGGAATTAAAAGATATTGTGAATATTGGAGCTTCAGCCTTGCAAGCTGAACATGTGAAAGTTTGGAATAAGGTAAGATTATATACATACACTATCTGCATATACTGAATGGAAAAAAGCTTAAATCACACATCAATAGACCTCAACATAGAAAAGTAGCTTTCTTTGACGACTACCGATCCAATAAAGCTCCTCTTTTGGACAGAGTTTTTAGCTCACCTGAGCCGAAGGCTCAAGTGAGCTTTTCTGATCACATTTTGTCCGTCGTCCGTCCGTCCGTCTGTCTGTCCGTCTGTAAACTTTTCACATTTTCGACTTCTTCTCAAGAACCACTGGGCCAATTTTGACCAAACTTGGTACAAAGCATCCTTGGGTGAAGGGAAATTTAAATTCTTAAAATGAAGGGACATATCCCCTCGCAAGGGGAGATAATCAAGAAAAGAGAAAAATAGGGTTGGGTCATTAAAAAATCTTCTTCTCAAGAACCACTGGGCCAGCAAAGCTGAAACTTATGTGGAAGCATCCTGGGGTAGTGTAGATTCTAAATTGTTCAAATCATGACCCCCGGGGGAAGGGCAGGGCCACAATGGGGAATCAAATTTTTACATAGAAATATATAGGAAAAATCTTTGAAAATCTTCTTCTCAAGAACCACTGGGCCAGAAAAGCTGAAACTTATGTGAAAGCATCCTGGTATAGTGTAGATTCTAAATTGTTCACATCATGACCCCCAGGAGAAGGGCGGGGCCACAATGGGGAATCCAAGTTTTACATAGAAATATATAGGAAAAATCTTTGAAAATCTTCTTCTCAAGAACCACTGGGCCAGAAAAGCTGAAACTTATGTGGAAGCATCCTGGTATAATGTAGATTCTAAATTGTTCAAATCATGACCCCCGGGGGAAGGGTGGGGCCACAATGGGGAATCAAAGTTTTACATAGAAATATATAGGAAAAATCTTGAAAATCTTCTTCTCAAGAACCACTAGGCCAGAAAAGCGGAAACTTATGTGGAAGCATCCTGGTGTAGTGTAGATTCTAAATTGTTCAAATCATGACCCCCAGGGGAAGGGCGGGGCCACAATGGGGTATCAAAGTTTTACATAGAAATATATAGGAAAAATCTTTGAAAATCTTCTTCTCAAGAACCACTGGGCCAGAAAAGCTGAAACTTATGTGGAAGCATCCTGGTATAATGTAGATTCTAAATTGTTCAAATAATGACCCCCGGGGGAAGGGCGGGGTCACAATGGGGAATCAAAGTTTTATATAGAAATATATAGGAAAAATCTTCGAAAATCTTCTTCTCAAGAACCACTGGGCCAGAAAAAGTGAAGCTTATGTGGAAGCATTCTGGGGTAGTGTAAATTCTAAATTGTAGGAATCATGACCCCTGGGGGAAGGAGCCATTATAGGGGAATCAAAGTTTTACATAGAAATATATAGGAAAAATCTTTGAAAATCTTCTTCTCAAGAACCACTGGGCCAGAAAAGCTGAAACTTATGTGGAAGCATCCTGGGTTAGTGTAGATTCTAAATTGTTCAAATCATGACCCCCGGGGGAAGGGCAGGGCCACAATGGGAATCAAAGTTTTACATAGAAATATATAGGAAAAATCTTTGAAAATCTTCTTCTCAAGAACCACTGGGCCAGAAAAGCTGAAACTTATGTGAAAGCATCCTGGTATAGTGTAGATTCTAAATTGTTCACATCATGACCCCCCGGAGAAGGGCGGGGCCACAATAGGGAATCCAAGTTTTACATTGAAATATATAGGAAAAAACTTTTAAAATCATCTTCTCAAGAACCACTGGGAAAGAAAAGCTGAAACTTATGTGGAAGCATCCTGGTATAATGTAGATTCTAAATTGTTCAAATCATGACCCCCGGGGGAAGGGTGGGGCCACAATGGGGAATCAAAGTTTTATATAGAAATATATAGGAAAAATCTTGAAAATCTTCTTCTCAAGAACCACTTGGCCAGAAGCATCCTGGTGTAGTGTAGATTCTAAATTGTTCAAATCATGACCCCCGGAGGAAGGGCGGGGCCACAATGGGGTATCAAAGTTTTACATAGAAATATATATAAAAAATCTTTGAAAATCTTCTTCTCAAGAACCACTGGGCCAGAAAAGCTGAAACTTATGTGGAAGCATCCTGGTATAATGTAAATTCTAAATTATTCAAATAATGACCCCCGGGGGAAGGGCGGGGTCACAATGGGGAATCAAAGTTTTATATAGAAATATATAGGAAAAATCTTTGAAAATCTTCTTCTCAAGAACCACTGGGCCAGAAAAAGTGAAGCTTATGTGGAAGCATTCTGGGGTAGTGTAAATTCTAAATTGTAGGAATCATGACCCCCGGGGGAAGGGCGGGGACACAATGGGGTATCGAAGTTTTACATAGAAATATATAAGAAAAATCTTTGAAAATCTTCTTCTCAAGAACCACTGGGCCAGAAAAGCTGAAACTTATGTGGAAGCATCCTGGTATAATGTAGATTCTAAATTGTTCAAATAATGACCCCCGGGGGAAGGGCGGGGCCACAATGGGGAATCAAAGTTTTATATAGAAATATATAGGAAAAATCTTTGAAAATCTTCTTCTCAAGAACCACTGGGCCAGAAAAAGTGAAGCTTATGTGGAAGCATTCTGGGGTAGTGTAAATTCTAAATTGTAGGAATCATGACCCCCGGGGGAAGGGCGGAGCCATTATAGGGGAATCAAAGTTTTACATAGAAATATATAGGAAAAATCTTTGAAAATCTTCTTCTCAGGAACCACTGGGCCAAAAAAGCTGAAACATATGTGCCCATGGAAGGATCATGGGGTAGTGTAGATTTCAAAATGTCTAAATTATGATCAGTGGGGTAGGGTGGGGATGCATTATGTATAACAAGGGGGAAATCTGGTAAAGAACAGAATGGTCAAAGCTTCTCAGGTGAGCGATGTGGCCCATGGGCCTCTTGTTTCAATAGGGGCTCTGCATGTGTACAAAAAAATAATTTGCGTGTATTATAGAGTATGGTACATGAACGTGTAGGATGATGACAGTTTTCGTATGGAGACTCTGTGTTCAAGTACTATAATACAGGTTTTATATTTCAGATGTGGCAGAGTGGATTTGGAATCAGCCATTCTAAGGCCCAGGGAGCACTGAATGCTGATAAGATTAACACTACTATTTATTATGTACTTAGTAATGTCCCAGCCCCACTGTATGACTTACAAGTCACTCCAACAGAGAGGACTAAAATCCAGCAGGTGCTTCATTACCCTGACAGGTGCTACAATGGACACTCTACACTGTAAGTTACTGAGTACAGGTGCTTCATTACCCTGACAGGTGCTACAATGGACACTCTACCCTGTAAGTTACTGAGTACAGGTGCTTCATTACCCTGACAGGTGCTACAATGGACACTCTACAATGTAAGTTACTGAGTACAGGTGCTTCATTACCCTGACAGGTGCTACAATGGACACTCTACACTGTAAGTTACTGAATACAGGTGCTTCATTACCCTGACAGGTGCTACAATGGACACTCTACACTGTAAGTAACTGAGTACAGGTGCTCCATTACCCTGACAGGTGCTACAATGGACACTCTACACTGTAAGTTACTGAGTACAAGTGCTCCATTACCCTGACAGGTTCTATAATGGACACTCTACACTCTAAGTTACTGAATACAGGTACTCCATTAACCGGACAGGTGCTACAATGGACACTCTACACTGTAAGTTACTGAGTACAGGTGCTTCTTTACCTTGACAGGTGCTACAATGGACACTCTACACTGTAAGTTACTGAGTACAGGTGCTTCATTACCCTGACAGGTGCTACAATGGACACTCTACACTGTAAGTAACTGAGTACAGGTGTTCCATTACCCTGACAGGTGCTACAATAGACACTCTACACTGTAAGTTACTGAGTACAAGTGTTCCATTATCCTGACAGGTTCTATAATGGACACTCTACACTGTAAGTTACTGAATACAGGTACTCCATTAACCGGACAGGTGCTACAATGGACACTCTACACTGTAAGTTACTGAGTACAGGTGCTTCTTTACCTTGACAGGTGCTACAGTGGACACTCTATACTGTAAGTAACTGAATACAGGTGCTCGATTACCCTGACAGGTGCTACAATGGACAATCTACACTGTAAGTTATTGAGAACAAGTGCTCCATTACCCTGACAGGTGCTACAATAGACACTCTACACTGTAAGTTACTGAATACAGGCACTCCATTACCCTGACAGGTGCTACAATGGACACTCTACACTGTAAGTTACTGAATACAGGTACTCCATTACCCTGACAGGTTCTACAATGGACACTCTACACTGTCAATTACTGAATACAGGTGTTCCATTACCTGACAGGTGCTACAATGGTCACTCTACAGTCAGTTACTGAATACAGTTGCTCCATTACTCTGACAGGTGCTACAATGGACATTCTACACTTTAAGTTACCGAGTACAAGTACTTCATTACCCTATCAGGTGCTACAATGGACACTCTACACTGTAAGTTACTGAGTACAAGTACTTCATTACCCTATCAGGTGCTACAATGGACACTCTACACTGTAAGTTACTGAAAACATATACATGTAATATGTGCTGGTGATACGCAAAATGTCAGTGTTGTGTTCTCAATATTGAAATGTAGGGGGATGGCATAGGACTCATGGGAAAAGAAAATTTGTCCTGCATTCTGAACTGTTTACTTTTGAGTTGCCATTATTTAATTCTTGCTCTCGTAGTCCTGTGTGGTTTTCATCTGAGGTTTGTGTTTTAGGCTGGCTAACACACTGTGGGCGGATGTGACAGATGAGGATGATATTGCCCGTGTGTCCACCACTTGGATGATCACTCTGGAGAAAATGGGCTGTGATTTCATGGTCAGATCAGGTGAGTTTATCATTTCGTGTATACAGTAGATATTTAGATAATATGGGTGCCTTTTAGTGATCCCCACATCCATCTGTAACACCCATATTATAAATTATTTGATTTTTTGTTGAAAAAAATATACTTGTAATCGGGTTGATTAATATCAAAGATGGTGAGGCAGAGCTCTATATATATATAAGTCTTAGAAAGAACAGTAAAGACCCGTAATCTTTGGAAAATTAAACAATAAACCACTATGTAAACAGGTGCAGAAGGAGTTCTTCAGGCGATGCTGTTGAGTATGGGGGCGCTGAGATTTGGGGACAGTCACCTGGAGTTTAAGATGGAACCCAAGGATCTCCACAGGGACCTTTTTTTCCACCGAATCAATTACGGCAATAACACACATCTTAATATATCTGTGATAGTCGGGGAGGACAATAAAGCAAATATCTACGCTGCTTTGGATCGCAATGATCGGCCATATTACGCCTGTGATGCAGGGTGCATAGATGCCCCTATGCAATTATCGTAAGTGTCTAATTTTTTTCATTTTTTTTACGAATACATTTATAATGTTAAATAAAAAATCTTACCAGGTAGTCATTTTTGTTGTAGTCAATTTGTAATATGTATGGAAAATTAAAACTGAATGTACATTTATACATTATCAAATTAACTCGAGGTTTCATTGAAGTATGAAACTCAAACAATACATTTGAAGCACATATTTATTTATTAAAAAAGCTTTTTTTTCCAGCATTGTTTTTCAATTTTATAGCATTTAAACTTTATCAGAAAATAAACTTGATGTAATACATTTCCATCAAACATTTCTGGTGACTGATTTTTGTTCCTGTAAATTTCTAGGAGAAAGGTGCAGCAGTTTCCTGTGAAGTTAACAGAGCCGTTGACAGCCATACTTTACATCACGGCTGACAAAGTCCACATGGAGGAGCTGAAACATGTCCTCCATCTACAGTCCATCAAAGAAGGTACTCTAAGTCACATTCTATCCTAGAAAACATTATTTATACTGTATGTCAGTGTCAAAGTAACATTTATTCAATAATATTTTGTGAATAAAACATTTCTGTAAGCTTATGGAAAAAATTGTTGCTTAATGGGATGTTTTGATTACCGTACTTCTTCAAAGATATCATTGTTTTCCTAACAAAACAATATTTTTCATGCCAAAAAAATAAAGAAATAAATTTAATAAAAACATACATGCTTAACCATAGAAAATGGCATATTGAAGGAAGCAAACTCAATCTTCATTAAAAAGGTTTAAGATCTGAGTAAGAGTAGTTGCCCTTGGTATTTTATACATATATGGTTTATATTCATAAGCTTTCAGCATTATAGCCTGTTAGAGACTGTGTTGGGAAAAGAGTATTACCGTCAAATGTGCTAACTTGTTTTTTTTTTAATATATTCAAGTCCTCTATTTTTTCCCATTTTATCCTACTTGTATAAATCTGTTATCTTTCCAGCTCCCCCACACGAGCACCATGTGATAGCCCTACACAAACACGGCCACCATTTTGGAGGCCTGCCTCTGATATTCTGGATCTCATTAGCATTCCTTGTCATCATTTTCCATCTGTTCCTGGTCAAGTTAATTATTAACGAGTATTGCCAAGGCCAGGAGAGATTTACTAACAGACGTAAAGGCTACAACGTGTGAGATGGACTCTGGAGATTTGTTATATACCCTCTGTGTCTTTCCATCATTTTACAAGGAGAATAGACAATCTAAAAAATCTAAAATATTCATATCATTTCAATGGTGGGTTTAATTTTTTGGTGTTCAAACTTCATTTGTGAAAATATGCGACTTTAAGGTGATTAAGCTATGGTATATGTTATATGTATGATGTTCTTTAGTATCATTTTATTGTCTTTGCTATATGCATTTGTATAATCCTTGAATTTGCAATACATGTACCGGTATGCATATATCTTATTTAACGAAAGAAATTAAAAAATAATAAGAAGGTAAAAAGTTATTCACAGTGCAATGTGTTACAAAAAATCATATACCTTATAAGCAGAATTTTTTGTGTCGATTTAGTTTTGGCATTATAAGCAAGGGTGCTGAGATCGCTAAAATTAATCTTTGATGTAACATGCATACAATATAATAACTTAAATATTGATTTTCAAAATACATGTATTTGAATTCATTATGGTTTGTGCCTTTTAAGATTGAATTTGTTCATTTCTGAAGAAGGGAGAAGATATATAGTGCTTTTATTTATTTGTTTATCTGCAATTTTGTTCAAGATGTTTGGTGTGCATGGAAGAGAAAGATTGGAAAATCGAGCTTTTAACTGGCAGCTCCATTTTGTTCTTCAGTTCATGTTTGTTTTGTCTCTATGTTTTTTGTTTTCTGTATTCTAGTGTATAATTAAGATTTACTTGTCAATCATTCTGAATTCCACGTATGTTTTTTTCTACATTTCACGCCATAATAATTAGTTTATTATTATTCACTGTAGATATCAAATGTGATTTCTATATGTAAGTATTCTGTAAGATGGTATTTTGTTAAATCTCTTTTGTTTTGAAAAGTGTATGTCTCAGAAAATGTAGTTTTATTCATAATTGGTAGCACAACTATTTCTGTGTGCATATAAACCTTAAATTCATAATCAGGTTAGGAATACAAGAGTACTAAGACCAAACCACATTTTTGGCATGTTAGAGCTATATAAGAAAGGTCAACTAAATTAGCTTTCCTTTTGTAATGAATTAACTATTTAGATGACAATACTTGTGTTGCAATGCAATTTCTTTTAATGCATATTTACTGGCCAGTGGTACATAAGATTCTTTTACAATGTTAACTAAAATAGTTTTTCAAGCTGTGTAAGTGAAATATTTATGTTATGACAATATATTGTTTATATTTTATGTACGAGTTGTAATACATGTAAGTCAAATTGTTTAATGTAGTCTGAAATGTACATTTGAGAGATTTTAACCTGCTTGTATGTAGAAACATTGTTTATGTAATATGAAGTATATGTGCAAATGATGGTTTGAATGTGTTGGCGATTACACTGTTTAATTGCTGAAGATATAGGTTTTGTACACATTTCTGTAAATGCACTGTGTACCGTGGGTACATGTATGCTGTATGCATGCAGATGTATACTTGTATATAAACAGATTTGAGGGTTTGCATTTTATATGCATATCTAAAACAGTTTTAAAGTTTTCAATAGCAGAAATGGATACAGTAAAACAAGTTTATAGTAAAGTAGAGGGACAAACTACATGTAGTTTGAATGGCATAATATTATGTGACAATTGAGTTTATGTACCAGAAATGCAGATGAGTAAATCGTTTTGAGTTTGCTGCAAGTGGGAAATCATAAAAAGCCTGTTCATTATAACCATGTTTTACTGTGTACATTGTTTTACTGTGTACATTTGAAGTTAATAAATATTATTAAAAGTTAATAAATAAAACCTTCAGCAATGTGTTTTAGAGGGTTAATGAAATCGTGTCGATTTATCTGTTGTAATTTCATGGTGGTTATGAATTCTTGGGCCTCTCTTGTACCTCGAAAATAATGAAAATTACATCCCCCAGAAAATTTCTGATTTCACAGAATTTTACAAGGATTCTTTGAAAGTTTAATTCAATTTATTCAGGTGGTATAAGAGGAGTTGCAGATAGGGGATTGGTACCCCAATGTGTAACAGACGGACGGACGTACAGACGGACGGTCATCCCGATCAATATATACCCTCCCACTTTTCAAGCGGGGGGTATAGAAATTATGTGATATTTTCTTTAATAGATATTATTCATCAAGATGAGCTTCGTAATATTTGTGTGAAACAAAACAGGTAATTGGAGAACTGGTTTGTATTTCAAATTTGCGTGACTACAAAGATCAACCAAATAATATCTATTGACTTACTGACAATAAAGTTATAATTTTACAATGAAAAATAAAACGTGTCCTTATTAGTAATTTATCTTATACCCCTTATGTAAACATTGTTACGCAACGTACCTGTGTTAATGCCTTCCGTCTATTCAGCAGGGGGTATTTATTTCCGTCTTATAGTAACCCCAAGAAAACTGTATTCCACCCTGCATTATGCATGTTTTCCTTATAAATTAAAATCAATTGAAAATGATGAGTGTCGAGTTCCAATTTTCAAGATCATTTCTTGTACACACCAAAAATCAGTCGTACAATATCATGAATATAGTGAAAAGAAATACTATCAGAGCAACAAACATACAATGAAAACACTAAAAGTACTGTGAACACTGAGCTCACTAAATGATAACCTCCGCTTCCTATATAATTGCGAAGTCGATGTTTTGCTCTGAGAGACCCGAAATAACAAATAAGTGTCAGATCAAAAAGTAAAATTGGAGGTGTATGGCACGCCAAATTCACAAAAATGAGATAATCATAGTTTTACAATTGATAAACTAGGTTTATCGACTGTAAACTATAGTTTACAAACCGTAAACTATAGTTAACGATTCGTTAAGTATAGTTTTCATCTGTAAAACTATATTTAACGGTTGTTAACTATAGTTTACGAATGTTAATTTATGTTTATCTGTGAATCTATGTTTATCAACAAAATCTATTGTTAACGCTTTCTTACATTGTTGATAAACATAGATTCACGTTTGTAAACTATAGTTTACAATCGTAAACTATAGTTAAGAGTTGTTAATCATAGTTTCACAAATCGTGGAACTATATTTATCAGATCGTTAACTATATCTAACGGTTTGTAAACTATAGTTTACAAATCGTGAAACTGTATTTATTAGATAATCTATGTTTTGCAATCGCAAATGATTGTTTTCAGTGTTAAGTATAGTTTACGGTTGTGAAACATAGATTATCGCGTTAACTATGGTTTACGGATGTAAAATATAGATTAACGTTGTTAAGAGCCAGTCCGCGAGAAAACCATGCAAAATTCAAAAAATCGTCCAAATGGAAGGTTGCAACTTGGGAGTTTTTAGTGGCTTAAAATTTTCTACATAAAGGTAGAAGTCAGAATATTCACAAAAAAATGTTGAACCCTGCACCTATTTTTAGTAAGAGCTCATTTGCATATTTGTCGAAAATCACACAAAATTCAATGGAAAATGTATACAAATTGATCTAGTCAAAAAGTTACCTTTTGTAATCAGTTTATTTTCAAATTTTGTTTTATTTTCAAAGTCATGGTCCAATTAACACAATTAATGAGGAAAAACTGAATTCAAATGAATATTTTATTTTTTACACATCTATTTATAGATCCTAAATAAATGAGTATGATTTTTTAGCCATTTTTAGATGCTCGTTTCTCTCAAGACCAAGGTTGAAATTAAATTAAATTAATTGTTACTTTAAGAATGGTCTAAGGTCTACTTTGTATTAAAATATTGAGCTTGGGAAATAATATCTACATGTTTTAAATTAACTTTGAAATACATGTACCATATTTTGCTACAATTTCACATATTTTAAATAACAGTCTTTTACCATATTTTTGGATTATTTCTATGATATTTAAATGAAAAATAGAAGATATTCTTTAAAAGAGGAATAACTGATTTGGATACTTCATATAACTTTCTTTTGCTTATTTTAGCCCCTTTTTACCAATTTGCTGAAGTTAAATTGTTATCTCCCCTTGCTGGAACTCTTTAGTATTATTGGGTAAAAAGTGACAGGTATGTCAATATGGAAAGAAGAAAGTCATGTAGATCTATGATTATTTTTTCTTTACCTAGGGAGTTTTTGTGGAGCATTATTGCACTATGAAAGAGGGAAAACTTATTTTATGATATTTGAATGTAAGAAAGAAACAACAACTTAGCTTGAATAAACAAAACAGGCCCATAGGAAGCAATTTCAGTGTGGGGGAGGGGGGACAACCTACAATGCTACATTATCAACTACCAAGAATTCCATAGAAAGTAAAAAAAATTGAAAGGCCATCAGATGTTTTTTTTTTTTATTTGGGGCATATACATGTAGTAGCTATGCTTTCTATAGGGTTCTGTCCTCGGGGAATCTACATGTATTTCATGGTAATTAACAGTTACAAAATTTTTCCTAACAATTACATTTGAAACGGAAATTTAATCAAATAATAACAGAATATTTTAATCAAAATATACATTTGATATTTTGTTTAAGGCACCTGGCCCCCGTTCAAGTTCAAGATCATTTTATTCACTCAAACCATTTCAGGTACATGGGGACAATGAAGAATATTTACAACATATATTTATTATAAATTTAGGTCAGAGGTACAAATATATGATATACATAATTAGAATATGAAAAGGAAACGAAAAAAGAAAAACACATATGAAACATGTAATAATGAAATAAGCGAGGGGAAAAATCATGGAGGACTGACTAACTAAAATCATATATTTTCAATATAAACGTACGTAGTTTTCTTAGTGTCTTAGCAACTTGTTTTGTCATCAGTTGAGAAAATATGATAAAGAATAGTAGAATACAAACCTGTCAGGTATTCGAATGCATACTCTCAACAAATTAAAAAATAATTGGTAATTTCAATCTACATGTAAATTGTTTACGTTTCATAAATTTAGTGTGTTTTTGAGTTAACCAAACACCGTCATTCCTAGGAATATTTTTAATTTTACATTACATACATGTACTTTAAACTACTGTGTTACATAACATTCATATATTGATAAAGTCAGATCTCCAGTGGCGTATATTCCATATAGGCAAAAAGGCTGTAGCCTACACATCATTTCCTCAAGAGTAAAACTTTGGTCGAATAAAGGGGCGGGGAGTTGATAATAAATCGTACCTATTAATTTATTTTGTTGGAAATGAAAAAAAGTATTCTTTGCAATCCGCACTTTCATGACTAAACGATTATGTTTACAGTTTTGCTTTATATTTAAGGATAAAAGTATTCCTTAGCTTGACATTTTTTTAAGCCAAAGTTCAAGTGCTATTAATATCAAGTCTGTATCAGAAAATTTAATCAAAAGCAACAGGATCCCATAATATGTGCAGGAAACGAAATTGATAACTTGCATTATATTTGTTAGTCAACATTTTGATCGAATTTTGATTATTTAGTAAGGAAGTTTCCATATTTTCTAAGCAGGTATCAAATAAAAGGATAAGTTCTCAGTTTTGTTAAGTGGTCTTCACATCACGATATAAACTGTAATATATGTACAATATTATTTTCACTGGTCAAATTAAAATTGCAGATGTCTGAGTTTGCAAAAGTGGTCCCTTTGACCCCCCCCCCCCCCCCCTCAATACCTATCGAGAGGAAGCCCCTTGTCTACCAAAGCTTTGCAGCTCAGGTTCAATATGTGGTTTCACACAAGCCTACACATTAGCAGAAAGGAATATACGCCACCGATCTCTTATTAAAAATCATCAGCTCAAAAGGAGATGCCACCGATTTAGGTACCCCACCGATATAGGACCCTCCACGTTAAATATTGGCAAAATTTTTCGGGGGTGGGTACTACCCCCCCCCCCCCCCCCCAGACAGTATGAGTCGTTACTGCAGCCAAAACTTTGCCAGATTGCAGTACAAAGTGGTAAAAATTTAAAACCGGCTATAAAAATGATAAACATGATAAAAGACTGGATTCATATTCATTCAAATTGGGGGGGGGGGGGGGGGGGGGGGCTTATCAAATTTTGTCGAAATTATTTTCAAAACATTATTAATAAAATTGTATAAGGCTTTGTAAATTAATATTTGATACTTTTTTCTGAATAACCATAAAGGTATTATTAATACCATTGCAGAAAGAGATAAATTGTTTTTTTTAAATGTTATATCACTTATATGTATCCACTGAAAACAGTTGGGGGAGGGGGCGTGTCAGTCGATCAAGGTCAGGATATTAAATATACGAGTGTATCTAGTACCCAATCGTTTCACCCCATCCACCTCCCTACAATTTACATACTAATATTGAAATGGATAAAATAATGAAAAATTATAAGGGTTCTGGAGGGGTGTTGCTAAAACGAGGAACGGAAAACGGAACGGAAAACGTATTATATTTTTTATTTTAGATTAAATCACCTTAAATACACAAATTTATAAACAATATATATTTTATAAATTCAATCCCCCATTATTTAATTCAAGTTGATTTATTCGTGTTCATAAAATCTCTTATTCACGAAAATCGCAGTCATAGCAGTGACGTAGAAACGATTTTGAAGGGGGGGGGGGGTAAAATTAAACTTACCTGAAAAGAATATTTGCCAAGCGAAAAAAGAAGACAATTGTTTGATTCGGGAAGTGGAATAAGAGTAAACTCCAACATCTTTCATTTTCTTAAACTCCTTTATGGAGTATTTTGTATAACATCTCCTGTTAGTATTTTTAAAAGATTGTACCAATTTAAAATTGGCAGAAAACAAACAACTTAGTGAAGGCTCAAATTTTATATGTTCAAGTCTCAAAATTTATATG